AAAGCTCTTTAGGTTTTCAAACAAAATATTAAATATCTAACGTAGCTGTAGAAGAACAAAAGTTTGCAAAACGGCTACATCGTTTTGAATAGAATTATGCGACAATCGTTTTGGGGGTTTTGCTAAATTTTATAACAATATAAAACCGAGGTAAGGTTGGTAAATCTGAAAAACATTAAGTAAGCGACACCGGTTATTTCTACCTTATAATTGAGAAAGTTTACGTCGTAATTTCTTTATGAAATTTCGTGCCAAATATCTTAATTAAGGGCCGGGACTTGGATGACTTTAGCAATTATGTCGCAATGGCATAATCTCGAGGAACGAGATAACGAGACGGTTACTTAACACGATTCATGTCGTTTCTGTAGGTCATTGGAATGTCTAGCATTTTGCCTTAGAAAGTAAATTATTACAATAATGTACAGATACAAATGAAATGAAAGCAACTCCGAAATACAACAATTATAATAATATGGATGTACTCGTTGAAGGTTCTTCCTTTTCTTATATCTCCGCTATGTTTTAATTACAACGTTATGAGTGTTGGTGGAATTGGCATTATTTGGTATTTTTTATGTAGTTTGGTACTTTGTATATTCTAGTTTTAATAAATGTTTATTTTCTAATAACAATCATCTGAATCATCTAACACCAACTTGTCCGATAAAGCATCTGATAACGTCAACAGTGCATCTTAATGTATTTCTACGCGTCGAACCATTTTATGTGAAGGGAACTAGCACAATTCATCGTTTGAGCAATTTAGTGAATTTGTGTATAACTTTGCTTTAACTTGCAAATGGTCCAAATTGGGCACAATCCAGGCAAATTTCTATGTACCAATTTTGGCACACTGAAGTTTATTTTCAGATTCAAATAGATCGTGACATGACATGTCCAAAGTCTTTGTGCTGAAAAAAATATAACGATAAGGTACTCGTAGTTCTTCTGTTGAGTGTCTACTACCAAAACTAACCGATTTCTTACTAGTGTATTATAGACATGCATCCACTTGTTCGAGTTAGAATACCCACATAAGGCTTTTTTTTACTGCTGTATCTAAAGATACCTACTCAATCCATATTAAAGGTCCAGCCCATAGGCGCATTAGTATCGGTCGATAATATCGGGAGCGTTATTGCAATATTTCGTCATACTACTACTGCGTCGTTATCGCAGCAGTGTGTAACTTCGTAGCCATTCCCATAAATTATGTACTTACTGTTAACAAATAAATATCGAAATAACGCATCCGATATTATTGACCGATAGTATAACGCGCCTATGAGGGGGAGGCATTGATATCTTTGCATAATTCCCCGATGTCAGTAACCGTGTTAACAAGTTTCATAATACAAAATTCATAAAGCTAATCAACAGCTTCATATGACATTTGAGAAAGAACTTTAATGAAACAAAACCACTTGTGCGCGACAAACGATCGTTAGACCGACCAACCTAACGACCGGCTCTGCAAACTTCACCTGAATTCCAACTCCAGCACGACCAAAACCGCAGGGCTAGAACTAACAACTACAACATGTGGTACAATCAAAAATAAACCATTCCACAGCGACATTGGGCATAAAATTGATCGGCCAGCGTTCAACAAACAGGTGCGGACTAAGAAGGATTTAAAATACTCAGTCAACAAGGCCAGGCATAACTTGGGCTAATTAGATTTAAAATAAACAGGGGTTTGTTGAAACCAACTCTATTTATTTTAATCGTTTATCGTGTCAGGACGGGATAGTATTTTTAACAGACTTCAAACTAGGAGAAGGTTCTGTGTTCGACTGTATATACAGGGCGTCCCACGGCTTCCTCACACGGAGGGAAAGTACATTAAATATTGAAAATAGAATATTTTACTGAAAGAAGACATCATTTTATTTTTAATAAGAACTAGAACTGCATTCACAGATTTTTTTAAAAATCGCCTGTTACAACTGGGAATCAAACTCGTGAAATTTCGAAAAAAAAAACACGACATATTTTATAATAACAATCGAAAGGGATAATCAAAAGGATTATGTTTTTCTAAATAACAGCATTTTAAATGAAAGGAATGTCTTATAACGTGATAAAAATAATAAAGTGATAAACAAATTGTAGTACGTCTGCATTTCTTTTTGAATTCAGTTACAATGCGATTGGCTGAAATTTGTAGTAATAATTCGAAAAAGGAACACATAAATTTTCAAGCCTGTGTTCTTTTGTTTTTCGTGAATTTCATTTTCGTTTATTTGCAATATTTTGTTAATTTACTTACCATGGCGCATCAAAATAAAATACATTTAATGTAAGCTTACTTTATAAACCACAAAGACATATCAAAAGCTTAGCGGTGGTTAAGAAAGATTTTTAATAAGCCATGGTAAGTAATTAACAAAAAATTGCAAATAAATGAAAATGAAACTCACAAAAAACGAAAGAACACAGGCTTGAAAATTTATGTGTTCCATTTTCGAATTATTATTACAGACACTTGGAAATTTATGGGTTCCATTTTTGAATTATTATTCTTCCAAATTTCTGCCAGTCGCATTGTAACTGTGAGTTCAAAAAGAAATGCATACGTAGTACAGTTTGTATATCACTTTATTATTTTTATCACGTAATTCACATTCCTTTCATTTAAAATGCTAAGTTATTTAGCAAAAATAAATCCTTACGATTATTCCCTTTCGTTGGTTATCATAAGCTAAGCCGTGTTATTTTTTTCGAAATTTCACGAGTTTGATTCCCAGTTGTACCAGGCGATTTTTAAAAAATCTGTGAATGCAGTTCTAGTTATTATTAAAAATAAAATGATGTCTTCTTTCAGTAAAATGTCCTATCTTCAATATTTAATATACTTTCCCTCCTTGTGAGGTAGCCGTGGGACGCCCTGTATATATATACACAGTCAGGTCATAAGTATTGTACTCGTAACACAGTAAAAACTTTTCTTTTAGAATGCTGGCCACAAATAAGTTTATTGAATTTGAACTTCGAATTGTTCATGAAAATAAAAATGTATACTTTTTAGAATTTTACTCATTTTTAAATATGAAGTGGACGCTTAAAGAAGACCGTATTGCAGTTATTGCGTTGCATCGTTGCGGTTACGCGCCAATTCAAATTTTTGACATACTGAAAATTTTGAATATAGCCAAAAGATTCGTTTATCGTACCATCAAACGATACAATAAAGACTCTAGTGTAGATGACAGGTCAAGAAGTGGTCGCCTTCGGTCTGTTAGGACTCCAGCAGTGATAAAAGCTGTGAAGGCGCGAATTCAAAGAAATCCCAAACGTAAGCAGAAACTGTTGGCCCTTCAGATGGGGTTAAGCAGAACCACGGTGAAAAGGGTGTTAAATGAAGACTTAGGGCTTCGGGCATATCGAAGAAAAACAGGACATCGTTTGAATGCTCGTCTAATATTTATGTTAATAAAAATACTTTTTATTTATTTTATTTTATTATTAATAGACCTGAGACTGAAGAGATGCCGCGCTTTGTTGAAGCGGTACGCGGGAAAAAAATATCGGGAATTTCTTTTTTCGGATGAAAAAAATTTTACCGTAGAAGAGAGCTACAATAAACAAAATGATAAGGTGTACGTCGCACACAGTAGTGAAGAAGCGAGCAACCGTATTCCGTTATTTTCCATCCTCGCTCATGGTATGGTTGAGAGTTTCTTATTGGGGCTTAACATAGGTACATTTCTGTGAGAAAGGTGTAAAAACGAATGCAGTTGTGTATCAAAATACAGTCCTGACGAACCTTGTCGAACCTGTTTCTCATACCATGTTTAATAACAGGCACTGGGTATTCCAACAAGATTCGGCGCCAGCTCATAGAGCGAAGAGCACACAAAACTGACTGACGGCTCGTGAAATCGACTTCATCCGGCACGAAGACTGGCCCTCATCCAGTCCAGATTTGAGTCGCCAAGGCAGCCGCCGATATTGACATAAACCTCGTTCGTGCTGCGATAGACGACTGGCCGCGCAGATTGAAGGCCTGTATTCAAAATCACGGAGGTCATTTTGAATAAACTTTACTGTCATAAGAATCTATGTTTTGTGACGTTCATTTTGGTATAGAAATGGTTAAATAATGAATAAACTTGTTTCAATTATTTTGTATTAAATATGTGACAGAAATTATGACCTGACTAGGTATGTATATATATATATATATATATATATATATATATATATATATATATATATATATATATATAAATATATATGTGTGTGTATTTTATGTATGTTCACCGATTTCTCCGTCAATTGTGGACCGATTTCCAAAATTATTTTTTTTATTCGAAAGAATGCACCTCCGGGGTGGTCCCATTGGAACCAAGTCAGGATCAGATGGTGGATCCGGCGAAATCGAGGGAAACCTACAAATTTCAAAGGCACCCACGATGTTTTTTTATGCTTGTTCACCGATTTCTCCGTTAATTGTGTTTACTTGGACGATGTTATTTTCACTAAAATGGATGAAATAAAAAATAAAACCGACTTCAAAATCGAAAATGGAACTAAAAAGTTAAAAATAATATCTGGTTCATGATTTGGAAGTCGGGCGGGGTCAAGATTGAAAAATTCCATTTTTGATTTTGAAGTCGGTTTTATTTTTATAAATTATCAATCGGGATCAAACAAACAGTTTTCTTTGATCGAACAAATATTTTATTTAATATAGATATTTACTGTTCTAATTTCATAGAGTATTTTGACAAATCTATCTATAACTTTAACAACTTGTCGAAGTAAATCAATATGATTGACAAAAAAGGGATTCGAAAAAAAATGAAGAATAATTTCGACCAAATACCTAGTTTTTATTATATTACGTAAAAGGAAAACTTTGTACACCTTTTAAAGCACATGTTAAATTAAGACAGATATTATTCTGAGGTTACACATATTATTCAATATTAGTCGTAAGAAATATCGAATGTGGATTTTGATTTCATCTTATAATTTCGATTTGTATTATAATAGTAGTTCATATTATCTGTTCTAATTGGAATAATGTTTTTGTTACAGGAATGTGGTATACAACCTCAGTCTCACAGACCTGACAGAGCAACGGCGTCTAGTGTGGTATTCGCCAGAAAACGACGTCAAAATGTGCGTCGTTAAAGGGAAAGACGAGGTAAGATCTTCTCTTAATTTCCATAAGAGCATAAATGATTAAAGAGTCCTACTATATACTATACACTAATGAGGAAAATCGCCATAATCATCTCACAAATTAAAATTTAAAAAAAAATACTCCTTACTACGTATTACCTTTTCAAGGAAAAAAAAAGAATGAGAAAAGCTTAGATATAAAAAATCGCTATAAAAGCATTTTAATGCTTAAATAAAAATATGTTACAAACTGTAATTATTTCCATGTTAATAAACTTTGCTTGAACTTTTGAGTTGATCGATGTTTTTAACCATGCGTGCATCGCGACTACTATACCTATATGGCATGTGAGACAGAAGTCTGAGAACTTAATCAGTGATAAGTACCTGCAATCAAATATTTTCGTTACTTCGCTGCCAATGTTTAGTTCCTTAATAAATTAATTCAGCGAATATGTATTATACCAACAAAATTAAATTTTGGTCCCAACTTTGTATTTCATACTGAATTTTGATGTGGCGGTTGGCGTTTCCTTTTGATTGGGAAGATATTAATTTATCTACATATTAAAATTTAATCGAGATTGGACAAGCGTTTTCAAATTCTATGGATTTTCACCAGGCAATTCTGGCCATGGACTTAGTCTTTCATCTTCTCTCCAGTTAGCATAAGAGTTATCCCATAAGATTACATAAACCTTAATAGGCTATGATTAAACTATCAACAACAAATCGCACGTAACACCGCAATGCATTAACATTGTTGAGCAATAATTATATATTGCAGCGAATTGTTATAAATCCACTTTCACTGGTGTACTTAAAATTGATTTTAAAACGAAGCACCGGTATTCTTTTTTTTTAGTTCATATATAGGTTCGTTCAAAACGAAGCATGGGTTTTCTTAGCCGTATTCTCGGCGCAGTCTACCTACCGAATGCCGGGAAATTAAAACGTCGATCGAGTTGAAATTTCCTTGGGGGCGCGCGTTTAACCGGGTGGGTTGGAGACACGGTAACCATATTTTAGTTCAAGTTAATGAAACCGGAATGGGTATGAATGTGAATAAGTTCCCTTTAAACTCGGAATGCATTCCTGTGACACCAATCCGGGAAATGTTTAACACTCGGCACTTGATTTCATTGCGGCGATGCCTTCATTATCCAACTATTATTTTATGATAAGGGTGTTTTAACATTTGGTGTACGTAAACGGTATGAATACATCTAAATAGGTATGAATCATTTTGAGTGCTCATGCGACGTATGTTATTATTAATGGCTGAACAAACTTACCTTCAGTGAAGTTTGACCGTAATTATACGAGATGTGTATGCCTGGTACATTGAAGAGTATACTACTAGATGAATATAAACCTTGAGGATGCACATCTAAATACAATTATAGATAGAGTATCATTACATTTTTTATTTTGGAGAAAGCAACAACAATCCGAAACCCACGCAAATGAAGTGCGAAGTACTATTTAGGTAATAGTTCTTGAATTGCTCATTCTCCTTTTTTGAGAAATGAGTTGTAAAATATCTTTCTTTAACGTCGCTTTTTGTGTTTATGTCTCCCGTAAAGTTAGTCCGAACAACACTGGAGCAATCTCTTGAGATCGCTCGTTACTCTTGAAATAGTTTTAGCAAACAATGTTACTGTAAACAAAACTGTATAAGAAAATCGTAAACAGTAAACTATTCGAAAGCGAGTTCAGTTTACGAGACGTTCGGTCATATTTCGCGCTGACGGACGAACAATTAAACACCTTTTAGTGAACCCGGTAGAACTTTACGATCATAGACTAATTTAAGTTAAACTGCCACTTTGGGTCCCCTAAATTACTATTTAAGAAAGGAAACTTGTGCACTGATTAAATCATTTTAAGACACACAACAGAATTTACTTGATTTCTGTTATGAAAGTACGACAGAAAATCGCATTAAAATTTCAATGTACTAAATACATATTAATACATAAGTCTCTTAGTACTTGCTTTGAATAAGAATATAGCTCTTCTCTAAGAAGAACTCGGCAAAAAAAAACTTGACTACATTTATTCTGATTAGTGCTTTTCATTTGATTGAATATATAAAATTTAAAGTCTCTCCGAAAGTGTGCCTGATGCGACCAAAAAGAATCCTCGGACAAACCTTAATTTATCTTAGAATTCATCAATCGACCAATGCAAATCAAGTGTACAGAAGGGAACTCTAACTGCATTCGTTCTAGAATGGCATGCTCCCTTTGCGCGCAGACTTCTCGCAGCTGATTGGTCGCCGCTCGAGGGACGATTCGGAAATTCATGCTTCAATTGCAGACAGTGCCGGGACTGTAGCAGGGCTACCAGTTACACACTAATACTAAGTAGATAAAGTCCACCAATCTCGGAGATATTAAAATAACAAAAAAAAGGCAAATCTGTTTTTTTTAGTTTTGTTGCTAAATTGTTGAATTCGTTATAAATTATATAAAAGTCTGACATACTAAACAAAAATGAATCATCATATTCATCCATACTGATATTAGAAATGTGTAAGTGTGTCTGACTGTCTTTCTGACCTGCTCACTGAACCGATTTAGTAGAAATTTGGTATAGAGATACATTTGAATTTCGTGAAAGGACATAGGATAGTCCTTATACTAGAAACCTTTTAAAGAGGTGAAAAGAGGGGTGGAATTTTTTATGAGATATCAATTTTTTCACGCAATGGGCATCCACTAGTAGTTACTCTATAAGTAGCGGAATAATCGCATAGCAAACTTACAGTAAAAATGAGAAACTATTGTTTGAATGAATAAGAATAACATAAAAATAAATGATTTTAAAGGTCAAAAACCTTAACCTTACATAGAATTTCGCTAACCGTACATTAATTTTTATTTTATTTGTCCCTTTTTTGCAGAGCAGCGGGATTTTAAATCAGTAAAAATAATTTTCTTTGTTATTAAAAGAATTTCCTATGTTGTTAAAAATAAAACAAGAGTAGCCCTACCGCATTACCTCGCCCTAAGCACCCACAGACGTGCCACGACTGTGCGCCTTCTAAACAGATTTGTACGCTTTAAACCGGCTTAAAGCAGTTCCGGTATGTTCTTTGTTGGAGATGACAAAAGTCTAGATCTGCCTACGTACGGGATTAAATTAAAATGCGTCCTTTAGCTTATCTCGTGTTCGGCAGAGTGGCACTGAATCTATTTCATACTTTAATTAACTTACAAAAATATATATTTACGACTGACCCAGCGAACTTCGTACCGCCATAAAAAAATAGGGGTTGGTGAAGGGTGAAAATTTAGGATTGTATGTATTTACTAATGCTGTATCATAAAAAAATATCTAAAATTGAAAAAAAATAATTAGGGGTGGATTACCCTTAACATGTAGGGGGATGAAAAATAGATGTTGTCCGATTCTCAGACCTACCCAATATGCACACAAAATTTCATGAGAATCGGGAAAGCCGTTTCGGAGGAGTTTAACCACAAACACCGCGACACGAGAATTTTATATATTAGATATTATATGTATAGATTAGGGATGATGACTACTGTTGTTTATTCGTCTATCAGGTAGATTATCAAAAAGTATTGAACATATATTGACTTGAAATGTCGCATGACCTCACGTCTTCGTACAATTTTTACTTAGAAGGGATGGCACGAACTCCCAACTTGACACGTTTTATCTTTATAATTTTATGGTTGATTAAAAAAAGAGCAAAAATAAATATCCTATTTATTTATAATCCGACTGACAGACTAATTCGGCCCTAAATAGAATTTCGTTTACTTCACCTCGTCATCATCATTATTAGTAGTATTTGACTGACCATATGACCATATAGGTCATGGGTTCAGTTTGTGACTGTGGCATTTATTATTAAGAAAAAAATAGAAAGAAAGAAAAACATTTATTGACGACATACATTAACAATTACAATAAATAGATACACAACAAACATAAAACAAAAGGTCCATCGTCAACTAGGCCCCACCTCAGCATAATGTTGCAACGGCAAAATTGGATTGCCGCTGCAACGCTGATATTCTGGAGGGATTATTCTGAAATAGTCTTAATATTATCTTTGAGCTGATACAAAAACGAATTTATGTTTGCTTTTTAATAAGTTTAATCCTTTACTTGTTTCCGGAATCTAAATATCTATTCAGTGAGATGACCTCCGTGGCCGAGTGGTTTATACGCCGGATTTCATGGTGTTGCCGACTCGAGAGGTCCCGGGTTCAAATCCCGGTGGGGGCAGATGATTGTGATGAATACGAGCATTTGTACTACAGTCATGGATGTTTAATATGTATTTCTATATAAATATACTTATATATGAACAGTATGTATTCTATCCGTTACCCAAGTATCCTTATAACACAAGCCTTACAGTGCTTACTTTGGGGCTAGGCTAATTGGTGTGAGTGTTGGAAATAATAATATTATTATCTATTCTGTGCAAACATTTACCGGCTAATGGTGATAGAATAGCGATTCTTAGTAGTAACGTGACTCAAAATATTTGTCTAATGTTATGGCCTGCACAAACGACGGACATTTGTCCGCGGATTTCTTTGTCCGCCGAAATAGATCGCTTACAACTTCATCAAGTAACGCACACGACTGATCAAAAGTACCCCGTACAAGAAACCCGGACCAAACTGCACAAACCCCAAAAAAATACTTGTGTATGCGTGACTAGGCGTAGGCACACAGCGAACTTTAGTCCGCGTTTCGAACTTGGTCCGATGTAAAGGGATGCTATCAGTATTCTCTTTTTAAATTCTAATGTTATTGACGTCATAACGTCTTACAAACCGATGTCGTTGAACACCGGCTGCACGCACGAGAAAAAGAGTGACGTCACGTATGCCACGTTATGTGACGTCATATCACGTTATGTGACGTCATGTCACAGTTAGTTCTGTGTTCCGCGGTATGTGTGAGGTGAGGTCTAGGGGTTTCTTCGACCTCTGCCCTGACAACCCGGACCCACCTTCGAAAGGTACCTCA